TTTGGAATATATATATATATATATATATATTTATATATATATATATATATAAATTGAAGTCAATAATATATAATTATCCATTTCGATTTTAAATCGGATTGAATATAAAATTTTAAAACTAAATCAATGGAATAAAAAAATAAATACGTATAAAATGTAAAAAGAATAATAAAAATTGAATAAATGAATCAAAAGGAAATCAAACGAAATATAATCTAAAATAAATTTAAAAATAATATGAAAATTAAGCATAAATGATTTTATAAAACTTAAAAGGCCAAACTAGAAAACACGATCGAAATATGAAATATTCATCCCCTAAACATGTATTAGTCATTTGTTATGGAAAAAGTAACTCATCTTCACCTACTTTACTTAATTTAATATTTGAAATTTTATATAATTTTAAATTTTGAATATTTAAGTATTGAGTAATTGGTGAATCTTGAAACTAGTAACGATTAACGCAATAGTAAATGAAATAAACCAAAGCAATTGCAAATAAATTAATTCTTACAGTTTCAAAACAACATTCTGTAAATAGTAATTCGGTTAATTTAATTACATAATATTTACGCTGTAAAAGTAAAACAAGTAATGATGTTAAAACAAAAAGTCAAGCCTGACGACTCGTTCATGAGACCAAACATACAACTTGGCCAACGAATCTTCACTTTAGTCCTTGTCCACGTCACACGTGTGAATTTACAAAGCGCGAGTAAGTGAACGAATTTATTCGAGTAACTAATCATCCTAATATAATTGTACACGGATTTGATGAATTTGGGTATTTATAATTTGTATAAAAAAAATTTCTGGTGATAAAAAGTAAAAAAAAAATGTAGAAATGAAAAAAATAAATGTATAGGAATATCGGGTATATTATACTATTTATCATTGTATACAATATGATTATTATTTTCTGTCTGACATATTTTATTTATTGTCCCCCTACTCACATGTATTGTGATATGTTTGTCTACAAATTTTAGACAAAAACAATTTGTTAAGATCTTAAAAATAAAATCGTCGAAAATAGTACATATTCTACAACTGTTACAAAAAAATATCATTTTCTAATTATTTTACTAATACCCAACACGAGGATTAAAAAATTACATTTTAGTTTATATAGGTACGAATAATTGAAGTTAACGAATTAAAGAATGTTGTTAGCATCCATTGAATAACGAAAAGATATATGTTGTAATTCATGATGATTTATTTATATATAAAAAGATTGCAAATCTTTTTTACCTTTTGACTCACAACTTGACTCCTATTTGTTAGAGTCGTCTTAAGAATTACGAAGGCATGTTCTTCGGCTGCTTAGAGTCCACAATATAAAAAATAATATAATTTATACCGTTGAATAACTCATAATTATTTGTTACATTTGTGAGGATAGTGGAGTGATGATAAAAAAATTCACACAGTGAAACAAGAATGCCTTTGTATAGTTTTTTTTTTCTCTTTAATAACATTATCTAGATTTTAGATCCAATTAATACTTCGAATATATTTATATATTTAAATGAACTCTTATTATAATAATCACAATGAAATACTTATGTTGATGATTTTATTTCTTGTTTTTATTTATAATGGTCACATGCATTATAATAATATATATTTTCAGTTTTATATATGGTCACAACAAAATCTCCCTTCAGCTTTCTAGATTTTTTTTTAAAGAAAATCTAAAATCGTTTGCCAAAATAAAGTTGGTGGATTCCACGTCATACACAGGATGGTTGTATTATTACTTCAACGTGTTTCGTCTTCGAAAACCTAAAAAAAAACATAATGTTTTTTAATAAGTATGCATAGTGTGTATTCGATTATACCTTTTATATATGCGTGTATTCGATTGTACCTTTTATATATTTATATTACTGCATGTCACGCCCATGCAATATAATAGAACAGTACAGAATATTTCAATATAAAGCAACGCCATACATTAAAATATTTATATCATCATATCGTGAGTCTATATTATATTGTCATGCAATAATCTAAAGGTATTCCAAATCCTTCACTGCTGCTACTTTGGCATACATACACACACATATACATATATATATGTATATATCAATTATATCTTTTATATATACCTATATATTTGAAATAGTAATTTCATCGATATATATATATATATATGTACATTAGCCTGGTTGCAGAAATAACAGGATATATAAAACGAGGCCGAGAAGCTTAAGAATGATTGGGCTTGGGAATGGCCCAATAGAGTAGGTTGATTGGGCTTGCGGTTCACTGTTTCGGACCGGTTATACAAAACCATATCACACACCTAACCAAATCTAATATAACCTAACTTGAATATAAATAAAATAACCGAAAATGAATTTTCTTAAAAGATAAATATTTTAATCAATGAAAACGAAAAAAATGAATCAAGGAAAGCTTTGCATTTTTTTTTATATATTCTTGAATCTCAAATAAGTTCCTCAAAGAAAAACCCTAAAGTCTACACAAATAGTTATACGAAATTATATGATTAATATCATAAATCCTACTCACGCATAATGACGATAGAGAAGTTTGACAGTTGCAGAATCGTGGGTTTATGACAATGGCAAAGAACCCGACCATTCAGATTGAAGTTCGGTTTTGGTCAGCCGACTGAACAGCGAGACCGGGAAAGGGCCAGACGAACGAGAAGCGAACGTGATGGGGGAGGCCGTCAATTTCAGAATTAAGGTTAGGGTTTAATTTAATTTGGAGATTTGCCGAATTGATCCTTACCTTAACCCGGCCGCTAGTCCATTTCGATCCGCCCGGATCCATCTCTCTTTCCTCTCGCACTTGCTCTCAACGGTCAATACTTGTAGATACCCGAGCCCTCCAAGGGCGAGATCCGATACCGTTGCTGGGAAACCTGTTCAGATACACCGAAAAATTTAGATACCCGACCGGTGCCTAGACTCAAACTATTGGGCATGGCAAAATTGGTTAAGCTCTAGGTTGGTGGTTATAGGCGGTTGTAAACCGATCAACGCCTACAGTTGTAAACCGATCGGTTAAAAGATTCCGCTCGGTTTGGTTTGAGTTGCTACTGGTAGGAACCGATTCGTCAAAAGGGGTTGACAAGGGAAGTTACCATGAATAAGCATTAAACGGGATGAACCAAAAACCGACATGAAAACTAGAGATGAAGACACTATTCCACATGGAGATCAATATGAGTTCAATAGAAACACAAACCCCTTTTGAAGAAAGTTGTGGCAAAGAATCTGAATCTTTTCACACCGTGAGTGCCGTCTCATCTTCATCCCTCCTTTACCCTACAAAGTAGACTCAGAATCTGAACCTCTTCCATGAATTTTTCCAGTCTTCCGACTTTGAATCATATACCCCAAAAAAAAAATCGGGTAATGCAATTCATTCAATGGTAAAGATTCAAGATTCCTCCTCGAATTGATTCCTGCATCGGGACAAATCACAACAAATAGCTAAAGTCTCTTCCACGAGGCTCAAAGAAGATGCACCTATGAGCATTATGATAAAAGGGCACACACACCATAAATTTATGAGATTCAATAGACTATGAAATTCGCTCACCGGTATTTTTCTCCCCAAGACAAGCCACATGATCCGAATATGATGATGACTCCTGCTAGAAATGTTCCAAATCTGCAAACGGAAAAAATAAACAAAGAAAAAAGCAGCCGACAGAACACAATTCTAATGTTATCTGAAAGCTCACTGCAAAATAAACAAGCCAAATCTCGAAACACCACGGGATCCATGACCGCAGTTTTCATCTTATTCTTTTCAGAATGCAAACCCACTGAAAAGACAGTCGAAGAAACGAGTAGATACACTGAGATCGTACAACAACAGCCATGATGTGAACATACCACCACAAGGGTAGAATCAGAGTCCAGGAAAATGAAGGCATATGCAAGCAAAATTTCAGGAAAAGAAAGAAACTTTAAACTTTATACATTCATGAATTCTTTTACGTTTAAAAAAGCAAGGCAATGTCTACGGCATATAATAAGATCAGATGCCCAAATGAACCTTGCATGTACAAAAGCACTAGAACCCGAGAATCTAGAAAAAAAACGAAACCCAAAGGGAAGAAGACCCTACGAGAAGTCATTTGAGAGCATAAAACTACTCCGGAAAAAGCTACTCTCTACGTTGATACAAGAGCAAGAGGAAAGAGGACACAGCTGCACGTGTTGGGAGAAACATCACTTAATAATCCAAAAGCTGCCTGTTCATGTAAAGACTTACGATAAGGAAGCACATCGATAAAAGCATCATCCAAAAGCTGCCTGTTCAATCCGTCCCTGTTTTTTAAACTGAATCCTCATACTGTTGTGCTCTAAGGTTGCACCTGCATTCCTCCTCGCTCTGGCAATCATTTGTCTCTTTATTGTTCTTTAACAAAATCATTCTCAGCTAAATCTTCCAACTTTTCAGAAACCATTTCTTCTCCCCCACTGTGGTTCATGCCAATGCCTTCGGGCTTCAACTCATTACCATGTTTCTCTGCAACATCCACATCTCCTCCAGAATACTTTCCAGCAAGTTCTTTTACTTCTGAATTATTCTCCCCGGAAATTTCCAGACCAACCATAGGTTTATCTCTGGTTTCATCCACCTTACGCTTGTTCTTGCTGACGTCTTTCACCGTGGCATCATCCCGTGCAACACCCAGTACATCTTCTGCATCCGCATGATGATTCTCCTTTGTGTCGCCACTAGTACGAGCATCAGATCCCCCTGTTTCACTGTCGTTTTCGGACTCATTTTCTACAACCTCCTCATTAGCATCTGTAGCAACCATGTTCCGCCTCTCGAGAAACTGCAACCTCCTCCTTAAATCCCCCAACTCCCTTTCCATCAAGAACAACCTTTCCTTCAGAGTCAAGTTCTCTTCCTCTAGTTGTGCAATATGGGTATCCTGATCATCGACTCGATTCTCCAACACATTGTGATACTCAGATCCACCGTAACTGGGGTAGATCATCTCAAATCGACTCAAATCATGGTCTAACCTCCTCTCAACCTCTACATGTTCCTCCACATCACTCTCGCTCGATCCTCCTTCGTCTTCATCATCATCGTAGTGGGGTTCCAGATCATGTCCATCAGATCGCAACCTAATTAGCCCCTTCATGGAGCCATACCCATCAACCCCCCACTCCTCCTTTGCCATATCGCCCAATACCTCCCTGGACGGTGAAAACATGGGTGTGGGAAGTACAGCTGGTGTCACGGGGCAAGGAGAAACCAATTCAGCAATCCCACCAGACTTCTTTGCGCGGATGATGAACGAAGTCGTGTTCCTCGGGGCATAAGGAATATAACGGTTATTGTTGAACTTCCTCTTTGGGTAGAATTTTCTCGTCTTCAACCTATTCTGAGACTGAAGCTCGTTTAGCGTCGGAGGATTGTACCCACCTGCTCCAACAGGCCCAACCTGAATGCCAGAACCAGGTACCTGCTGAGGGTTGTACCCTCCCATACCACCTGGACCAATAGCAATACCATGGTTAGGCATCAGATTATCCATCCTCCTAATCGGCTCCTTCATGGGTCTCTTGTCGTTGGGAATATTCTTTCCTTTCCAGTGGCTTCGGTTCATCTTCTGTTTCTTCAATGCAGGACCAAAGTTATTAGGCTTTGAGGAAGCCGGGTTCTGATACTTGGTACTCAAGCTAGGGTTAGGGTTAAAGTTCCGGGTGTTCATCATCAAAGGCAGGTTCATCATAGCCTGAGACTGGACCAGGTTCATGACCTGTGGCTGATTCATACCCATAACCGGATGGTTCATTCCCTGAGACTGACCTAACAATTGAGTCTGGTTCATAATTTGCGACTGAACCTGATTCATTACCTGCGGAGGCGGAGGCAGGTTCATCATCTGCGGCGGCGGTTGGCCCATCATCTGCTGCGGAGGCGGTGGATTCATCAGCTTAGACTGATCATTCATTCTAACAAAAGCCGAGACACACAAACTGAAACAAATAGAAGGAACCCTAGTTTTAAAAATTCCCAAATCTCGAAACCAACCAATTCAAGCAAATCAGCAATCAGATCCACGAATCAGAAATGGAATCCCTTGAATTCGAGCACGGATACGAAAGCATGAACCAGAAAACCAAGCGAAAAACAAACGGAACCAAGAAGAAATCCAAATCAAAACCCAAAAAGAACCCCCGAAATTGGAATTTGAGGTTTCGATTTCGTATTAGATTTTCTAATTTTTCGTTCGTATAATTTGTGGTGTGTCGAGTTTCTTTGCTGAATTTGGATCTGGAAATTTCTGATATTTTCTCGGGAAAGCAGAGAAAAGGTAAGAAACAAGTTTAGGAACGGCAGAAAGGGATTAGGTTCTTATATAGAGGTGAGCCGTGAAGGAAAGGATGTTGGGACGAATGGACGGCCAAGATGTGACAAATTAACCAACGGCTCAGGTTTATTTATTTCAAAGCCGAAGTCGGTTTATATAAAAGGTGAATTATCAAGCAAATAATAATTATTAAATAAAATAAAATAACACAATAAATTATAAGTATGATTAGTTACTCTATCATACTAATTAATTACCTGAATGTCCACGCCAAGCGTGGGTTAATTATTATTTTGTCTTAATTTATTTTATTATAGTTACAAAATGAGTTATGCAAAATTTAAATTGAACAATATTTAATATGTATTTCTAAGACATTTTTTTTGTTACTTGTTAGATAATATGTTGTGTTGTATTTTCTCCTTTTACTTTAATTTTATCCAAATTTTGTTTATGCTAATATATCAAGAGATATTCCTATCAAAGTTATCTTTTTAAAAATTTGTCTTATCAAATATACCGATTACCGAGATGTTCCTTCTTTTTATTCTTCTATCAATATAATATATAATTTTGAATAATTAATCGTTTTTTAAAACCATGATTTGGCATAGATAATCATGCTTTTTATTAATTAAAAATAAAGAAAATCACATGTTTATAGATTTTAATGATAATCTATTTTTCTTCTTTTTTTATAGATTTTAATTAGATATTAGATTACATTATATTTGGACATCATTTTTTAAATATTTCCCTCTCCTTATCTTTTGGTATATTAAATATAGATTTAATATCAAGTTTATCAAAATTGATACACGATTATATCGGAAAATCACTAATTAAAATAAGATTAAGAGTTATTTAATTTGCTATGTTGAAAACACACTATTTTTAATCATTCTTGTAGAGATGTAAAATTGGTTATCTCCAGCCCGACCCAATCCTAAATCCAAATTGATTAGTTTAGTGGGTTGATTATCCATAAACTTAACCCACTGCATATTTAACTAAAGTTGTTATATATATACACATGCATATATGCACCCATATATACACACACACATACACGGATATACATATACACACACATATATATACACAAGCATATATGCACGTAAAACCCTCAATGGGGGATACTCAGCAACAACAAACAAATTAACAAACAATCTACCAAACAGAATACATTATCCTTTTAGTTATTAGGACTTAACAACAATACACAGACACTCTCATTCTACTTCTCTACGCAGACAAATACAAACGAACTGAACTCAGTTAAGCCTTGTCCCCATGCCGAGACGTATCTGTCTGTGCTTCAACAATTCGAAACCAAACAACCAACAACAATTGCAAAACCATGAGATCTTTCCCCGAAACCCGAAACCCTCCAACAATGTAGCCCCGTGGTTTATGGAAAACGTCGAGAAACAGGAAACTTACTGGTCCGATCGAACTTTACAGTCCCGTGTTAGGGTTGTTTCCTGCCAGAATCAGAGAGATCTCCAGACCGCGGCTAAAGGCCTGGTTGAACATCATACGTGTTTGGAAGGTCGAGACGAATGGGAACCACGAGAAAAGTGCAACCGGGACAAAGATTAGCATTCCCATTCCCGCGTCATATAGACGTGCCAGAGAGCGGATGGATTTCCACAATCCCATCCTCTTAACGATCGGTTTCCAAGCACAAGCGATCTGGAGAAAAATCACCATATAGTTTTCTCAGAGATCTGGTCACTGAATATGATAAAAGACTAGAAAAAGGTTTATCCAAAGATCAAGTTTGGGGGGGGGGGCTACCGAAAGAATTCCCCAACCAGTCGGTATAAAAGCCAAAACGCAGGCGAATATATCGGTGATCGACAAGTCTGTGCGAGCAACTGCTACCGCTATGCCGGCTAGAGCCAACAATAACACAAGTCCCTGTACGAATCTCAACACAAGCTGGAAATTGACAGAAATCTTCTGGCTAAAAGTAAAGACCTGTTTAAAAGTGCCCAAGAACACAGGAGAGATCATCAGATCATAATATGCAATTAGAGGAATCGGCTAAGAAAAAAAATGGTTACGGGAATGAAGCGTGAGATATGGGCTATCCGACCTTGAAAAGCAATATAATCACAGCTATTGCAACCCATGACCAACCATACACCTGCAAGAGGTAATGTGTCGGCAAAATATTAAGCATATGATAAATTTCATGGGAATCTTTTTGAATCATAGATATCACCCAATGAAAAAAAAGGTACCAGAAGATTTCAACAGAAAACAAATGCTGAAAGTTGACTACATAAGCAATAGATGAAGGAAATCATTATTACCGCCAATGATGTATTTGACCCTTGAATCTGCAGTTTGTAGACGATACCATACTGGAAGATAAAGAACCTTAGACATAAAATAGTCTCCACTATCCTCCCGCTCAGAGTCCGAATGTGTGACTGTACATGGAAAATTATTATTGTTATTCATAGAATAAAGAAGTGTCAAAAAATGAAAAGAAAATAAGAAAATAAGAAAAAAGTTGCATATAAGAGAGGAAGTTCCTAAAATATGTCTCCACAGTGAGGAGCAAAACAGTCTGGATATTAGATTAAATTAAAAGACAACATTAAGAAGAAAATCATAGGTCTATTGGTGATCAAACAATGAAAACTGAATAAGACATAGTTGACCAACCATGGAATAGAAACCAATGATAGAGTTTCGAGAATCAAATTTTAATACCAGTTCTTCTTCCCACCATGCTTCCCAGCTCTCACCTCCTTTGACTCCAATTCCACCTCTGTAAAAGAGCCAATTGGTCCATTCTTTGAAGTCTTCCACAATCCTGAGAGAACGGAAAAGCTTGTTCAACTCATGAACTGGGTTCATTAACATAAGTATGAGGTAAGACTGATTACTTTTGCCACTCAAATCCAGCAGGGTTGAACAAATATGGAGCAAAAAGCCAAGAAAGAGCCATAAACCAGCTGCTGACAGTCAGAAGAATGTAGGTAACGGCACTAGCCTCATCGTTTCCATATGCAAGGTAAACGATTAGTAAGAGGACAACCTCCAGCCTAGAGAAAACATGAAGTAGAATATGAATTAGATTTTCCAGTTTTGGAATTACCAAAAAGACAGAGAAAACACACTGCCGCAACATATGTGTGTATAGGAAAAGAGGGTGTAAGAGGATGATCACCCTTTGATAAAGTGACTTCTGGAATAAAGGCGGTAGTTTTCGGAAAATTTGATGTGCTTGACCACAAAGCCTCTCCCAGTAGCTTGGTACTGTTAACAAACACTTTTCATCAAGTTTCAGAAATATATATACATTTAAGAGCTAAGAATGAGAACATACCCTTGCACCACCATGAAGAATAGTCCGACCAAAATAATGTGTTCTTGTGCCAAGAGAAAACGTGAAGAAGACAGTACATAACTGAAATTGCATAGTTATGAAACTGACAATTGCCTACACCACAAAAGATGGATTTCATAGGAATAAGTTCCATCACAAAACAACCGACACAATAAAAAAAGGAAAAACAAATGACCTTACAGCAACCTGCTATCAGTAATGGTAATTTTCTTTTTCTTTTTGCAAACAATCAAATTGATAAATAAGATGCTTCAGTATACTTGTATCATTCTCCGAAAAGGATAAGCTACCAGAAAAGTAACACTAATATGCCCTTCTCAATCACTCACTTACTAGATAAAATAAAAAAGAAATAAATCACACTTTCCCCATAGTGCAACGGGTTATGCATTTTAATCCAACTAGCATGCATATGTTGTTCAATAGTTCTGCCCTATTCAGCTCTGTTACAATCCTCGTTTTTGAACATTTTAAGCTGCGCAACCGGTTCAACTTGACTAAGCCACATGCTCGTCCGACACAAGCAAGAAAGGAAAGGTAATTGCTTACAGACAGACCAGATATTTTCTTTTCAGCTGGATGGCTATTGGAACCAATGGAGGAAAAAACAAAGTTGCCAACACAATCAGAAACATGTTCTAATGAACCAAACTGGGAGGAATCTATCCACCAACCCTCAAGTTACAACTAAAAGAAAACAAGTAGCATGTTCGGAAAAATGAATTGAAAGCACAAATTTACAACGGGACCAAAAAGGCGCAAAATTATTACCTGGAGAAAACCCTGCTCCAAAACAAAGCCTAAAACCATAGGCACAGCAGTGAAAACACCAATCTGAAACAGAAACTGCGCATTTAGAGCAGCATTAAGGGCAGTATCACCCAATACGAGAGCTCTTTCTCGCATAGTTGCCCCAACCCCAGAAAGTGCCTGAAACAAATCAATCGCCAAAGTAACTGAGACTACGGACGTATAACAGCATCATGCTTGACATGCAGGAGGTAAATACCATGCAAAAGTTCGAGAGCTTGTATGTTAACCCATACAAAACAAGTTACACTCTGCAATCATCCAAACAGTAGTATGAGACACTACTCACCAGATACAACCTTCCGTATAAGAATATGTACACAGTAAGCACCGTCAACTGCAAGAAGACATAAAAAGCATGAAGCATTAGTTCTTTTACTGCTATTTCTTGGAAGCTATAGTCTAGAGAAACTACCAGTTTTCTCAAGATTGCTCTAGCTACGAGGGAGATAGAAAGAAAGTGATTTTTGCATATAAATTGAGGAACTTCATAATGAAAAGACTTGGCTCCATAGCATTGATTGCTAAGCATTAAACTTCAAAAAAGAACTGAAATATGTCCATGCTCAGCTTAACAAGGTCAATGTGACTGAACCGAATTCCAGCTATGTGAACCTGTTATAATATATTAAAGCAAAAATCATATCGCTATACATACCATTGTGCAGAAGTAGTACCCAACAGTTGTAAAGTAGAACGACATCATTCGGAAGAAATCAAGAAGCTGACCAAGTCTGTACACATCCCGGCTAAGAACCTGTTCACCATTCCCACCAGCAACCTTTCCTTCAAATAGAGCTATTTGATTTAACCCGACATCTCTCCCTTTGCCGACCTGTAAATACAAATTAATACGCATATTTTATCCTATAACGCAAAGAGTTAGAAGATGGGTGCTCTACGAACCTGAATATACTCGTGATGAGTGACATTCCCTTGACGCAGAGTTGAGTTAAAACCTGTTTGTGGTATCATGAAATCATTACCACTCAAGTAGAAAGGAAATTAATATATCAATTTAACTCTAAATTCAATGATTTCCATTTTTAAAGTGGATAAAGCTCCTTCTCCGTATACATCAAGCTTATGTTATTGAGCAATCACCAAACAGTAATTCCAGGGGGGGGGGGGGG